AAAATTAAATCTAATTTAAAATTTAACATTTACCTTTTATTTATGGTGTAAAATTTTTTTATATCAATGTGTTTTAATTAAATTTTTTTCAAAATTAATTATTATACATGATTACTTCTTCGATATATCACAATCATCCATAAATATTATGTTATTAATAATTAAAAATAAAAATTAAATCTAATTTAAAACCTAACTGTTATTGACGGTGTAAATTTTCTCTATTGCAATCCAATTACTAAATTCTTTTCGGTATTTCTTTTCTCTCATGATGTCTATAGAGTCAATACAATTAATTTTTAATAATTTAATTATATGCTCATGATGTCTATAGAGTCAACACAATTAATTTTTAATAATTTAGTTTATATGCATAAGTGCATGGGAATTATTCTATTTCCTTTATTTGATATAAATTGTCAACATGTTTTCTCTTTTTTTACTGACATACTATAATGTACTAATATTAATTAATTTACTGACATACTATAAGGTATTAATATTAATTAAAATCACGTGGGGGTGTTTAATATTTTTATATATGATAAGTTTTGAGTAAAGTCCTTCTTAACCTCTTTTTGTGGACTTTCTAAAAAAAGAAATGGATTTTGCCTTTACATATAGGATTTGTTCTAATCTTTTTTGTGTTAGAATACGTTTGTTCTAATCCTTTACAACGCACCATTCATCATTTTGTATATATTCAATAATTCTCTAGATAGGACTCCCATACCTAATCAAATACCTACTTTTCGAAACAAATATTTTATAATAAAATATGTATTCACTCTTCCAAAAATTACAAACTCTTAAATTTAATTGAAATTTTAATTCTCCATTATTTGTAAAATAATTCTTTTTTGATTTTTTTTAAATAGATACCTTTAGTTTCTAAAATAGTCTTTATGAAATGTAAATAAAGATCATAAGTGAATAGTATTAAATTTAAAAGTTCTTAATTTTATAAGATTGGTATATGTTTGATTCTGCAGTGAATTATCGCTCACATATTCATTAGTTATTTACCGTAATTCTTAGAGACAGGTAGGAGTAACTTTTGTGCTACCGTGATTTTAGAAATTTTCAATTATATATTAAGAATATATTTAATCCGGTAGTTTATTATTAAATCCTTTAAACTATTTAGATAATTAGGACAAGATATCAAAATTAGTTTAACAACAAAATTTTATTTAAATATCTTAATAAGATCATTTAATTTGAATTATTAATATTTAAAAATTAAAAACTATAAGCATTTTGTTAAAATCCTTTAAACTACAAGACATATTAAAAATATAAGCAATACCCTCTTTGAAATATAAGGGAGGAGAAATATTGTCAATGATATAGAAAGCACTGGGCCATGCATTTTTCTTGGGAGGATTCAAACTTCATTATTTTTTATTTTTCAAAGCCGTATTAAATTTTTGAACGTCATATCTTAGTTAATTACTATTCAACTGTGATAAAATCAACTGTGATAAAATCTTAGTTAATTACTATTCAACTGTGATAAAATAATTAAAGATTATATTTAATGGTGGTTTAACTATGACTGAATCTATTATGAGATTATACTTAATTAATATTTAATACTGAAAATTTTGAAATTCTATGTTTAGTCCACCTTACATAACTTTAAAAAGTGCCATATTAATTTCATTTCAAATATTGTTGTGTGTAGCAATATTTTAAACATAAAATGAAGTTATTTTGAACAAAGGTATTGCCAAAATATGTTGGCTTGAATTCACTACGCCTCTCACTGTGTACAGATGATTGATTTTCCTGGAGGGAAAGTTGGATTCACTTCTGAAATGAGTTTCATTTCTGATACTTCTCACATAAGGGTTCCATGCTATCGCGTCCTTGACGATGATGGCGAGCTCGTGAATCACACCAATCATGTTCAGGTATGTCATATCATATCATATCTCCGAATCAATGTCGTGTCGTAATATGTATCCGAGCTTCTTAGAATTTTGTTGAAGAAACTTATTGACCATATTTCAACAGGTTAGCAAGGAATTGGCTGTGAGAATGCATTCTGAGATGGTCACTCTTCAAACAATGGATAGCATATTCTATGAGCTGCAGAGGCAAGGAAGAATTTCCTTCTACCTCACTACATCAGGAGAAGAAGCTGTTAACATTGCATCAGCAGCTGCACTTTCTTCTCATGATGTTATCTTGCCTCAGGTTTGCTTCTTCCCCAAGTCATTGAAATTCTCTCATTCTTCTTTTCAAATTCATTTCCAAATTTTTTATTTTGCTATTTTACATTTTTGCTAGTACCGGGAGCCTGGAGTTCTGTTATGGCGCGGTTTCACTCTGCAACAATTTGCTCACCAATGCTTTGGAAATACAAACGATTTGGGTAAAGGAAGACAAATGCCAATACACTACGGCTCTAACAAACACAATTACTTCACAGTTTCATCGCCTATTGCGTAAGACATATATGCCATAATGTAATAAACATGTTAAAAATAGTTGCAATTGTTAATTCGTGACATTTTTTTCTGAACAAGCTCATGTTGTTTGGCAAGAAATTCAGAACACAGCTTCCTCAAGCTGTAGGCGCTGCTTATTCGCTTAAAATGGACGGAAAAAGTGCTTGTGCAGTCACTTTTTGTGGAGATGGAAGTACTAGTGAGGTTAGTAATGATGAATATGAGCCAACAATCTCTCTTAAGAACGTAATTATAGAATAAAGCATCATTATGCTTCTAGCTGATATTTGAAATATTGTAGGGAGATTTTCATGCCGCTTTGAACTTTGCAGCAGTAATGGAGGCACCAGTTGTTTTCATATGTCGTAACAACGGATGGGCCATTAGTACCCCTGTCGAAGAACAATTTCGAAGTACTCTATACAAATTCTTCCTACTTAAGTTGTTTATTCAAACAGACTCTATATAATTTTCTCAAGTCTATATGATTGACTTCGGTGTTTTGATTAGGTGATGGCATTGTGGTGAAAGGTCAAGCTTATGGGATATGGAGTATCAGAGTAGATGGAAATGATGCTCTTGCCGTTTATAGTGCAGTTCATACTGCACGCGAAATTGCTATAAAAGAACAAAGACCAGTTTTAATTGAGGTATTTATATATATGATTGATCTACTAATGTCATTTTGTGCCAAGATGAGATGATCATTATTAATCTAGTGCTGAATGAATGATGTTCAGGCTCTTACTTATAGAGTAGGGCACCACTCTACATCTGACGATTCAACTAAGTACCGATCAACTGGTGAAATCGAATATTGGAAAATGGAAAGGAATCCAGTGAACAGATTCAAAAGATGGGTTGAAAAGAATGGTTGGTCGAGTGAAAAGGATGAATTGGAGCTTAGAAGCAGTGTTAGGAAGCAAGTGAGTTCAATTTATTTAGTTATTGAAATTTATTTAGCCCGTATATATTTTGGTATGATGCAGTAACATGTTTTGAGTTTTGATACTACAGTTAATGCATGCAATTCAAGTGGCTGAGAAAGCACAAAAACCTCCACTTGAGGACATGTTTACTGATGTCTATGACCAGCTTTCATCAAACCTTGAAGAGCAAGAAAGAGAACTTAGACAAACCATTGAGAAGCATCCCAAAGATTACCTTTCTGATGTTCCTTTGTAAATATATTTATTGCCAACTCATATAATATAACCATGTGTACTGTGAATTTGAATATCAGAATGTAAAATAAAGTTGGGTGTTGCATTGGATATTCTTCTAATATTATTTTATTTAGAAAACTAGAAAAAGAGATAAGTTCACAAATAAAAAAAATCCAAATGCTGTTATGGGATGACTAGATCAATTTGGTTATGGGACCATCACCATTATTGAAGATAAGGTTTCCATTCATGAAGAAGCTGATAAGATGGGTTGCATTATGTGATCTATCTTATATATTTTAATCTAATAATCTCATTTGGATTGTGACATCTAAATTAATTCAGGTATGTGAAGATGCATAAAATGTTGCTCTAAAGCTTCTATTGCTCTTATGTCAATATAATAGGATCTGACAGATAATTGTTGTATATAAGAGCAAAAACTATTACAAACACAACAGTAGTGTGTAATTTCCAGTTAAAGGAATAATTGACACAATAGTAACCAACCTCTAGGAGTTATAAAGCCAAGTCTCTCCCTTGACCAAACCGCAATTGACAACAATTCGATGACCACTAATTGTCTTCCTTATTCTATTTAAAACACACTGAATAACGTAAACTGAGCCTAATTACTTGAGCTTTTGGCTTCACTCTAAGTCATTTCATCAATGATTGGAATAGGAAATTTATCTGAAACTGTGATCTTACTCAAAGCTTCATAATCCACACATAATTGCTAACTACCATCTTTCTTATTCACAAGAACGATAGGTATAGAATAAGAACTTACACTTGGACGTATAATCCCCAATTTCAGCTATCATAAAACATATTTTTTAATTCTTATCTTTTGATAAGGAAGGTACCTTGTATGCATTTGTTGTTTTTCTGGAACTAAAGCTGACTTTGCATACTTCAAGAGGGGAGGGAAGGTAATATTGAATTGAATAGTTTGAAGCTGAAAAAGACAGATTGAATAGTTTAACAGTTAATATAGAATAGAATCTAGTATATTGAAAAGCATGTACGTGCAAGCAGTAACCAAAACCTGTCTTCAAGTTACTCGTACTCTTCCCTTGAGAGCATGTCCAAGGCGGCTTATATATATCTCACAACTTTTGTGCCAAGAATATTCTCAGCATATTTTCTTGATGTTGTCACACTGAAAAACATGATCAGTGTTGTAACATGGAAGATGAAACTTCTGTCATTGAATCATTGGTCCATTTTTTCGTTTATCAATACCACTGCCACTTGTCATAAGCACATTATCTACTTCTCTGCATCACCCGTCCGTTTCGTGTAAACCGTTCGACCTTTAACTTTGAACTTCATCGGATCATAGTGGTGCATAGATATATTGATTTGAAGATATATGGACAGTCCTCCTTCTTCTTCTTGCATCATTGTTGCTTGTGATGCCACAAGGGACCGCAATGAGCATGAGATCAAGATCGTTATCGATCATGTTCGTGCCAGGGATATCATGCTCGCCTCTGGCGACAGGTTGCTTGTGTTATGCATCTTGCATAAGGTGTCTCATCCCAGTAAGTGTTGGATAATAATCTACATCTTGTACTTTCACTTCAGCTTGATATATACGAGATCCTTCATATTACATGTATCTTTTCTGTTCCTTCCTTTTTGGATTAACAGTGGGGTACCAGACATTAGCATCTCCTGAGGCTTTTGCTGGCACCAACTTTCGTGCAATGGAGGAAGAAGTCAGAAAAAAAGTGCATGTTTATGCAAATGTGCTTTTATCTACTCTTGAAGATTTTGATATCCAAGGGGTATATATTAGATTCTAATAAAGCTCTTTATCAAATGCTACTAACATGCATAATATTATGCAGATGAAAAACCAAAATATTAACTCCACAACATGTTTATAATGTCTCCAGGTTACCGTCGACATTCAAGTCACCGCAGGTTTTCCAATTAGACAAGTTATTTTACAAGAGATTAAGAACTATAATGCATCTTGGGTTGTACTTGATAGGTATAATTAGTAACTGTGATTTCATATATTTCTTCTTAGTTTCCTTGTTATTTTTAAAGACTTTCAATTTGAACAGGCACCTTCGGCGCGACATGAGATATCATCTTAACAAGATACCATGTAAGGTAGCATTGGTTAAAGATGATTTGTCAGTGGATATTTGGAGATCTCACAATGCACACGACACAAATGTCACAGCAACAAAGCCTGTCTTTTCTTTGTCCAAGTTTGTGTCATTATCAGATTGCCATAGCGTGCAAGAAATTGAGCAGTCTATTGTCTCTTGCAAAAGTTATCCACATTCCTTAGCTTCTTCTGATAGCTCTGGTACTATTAAGAGTTATTCAACGCATTCATATGCCAACAGTTCATTACATTCTGGATCTTCTTCTAAACATGAAAGATCAGGTTAGGATCCCTCCCTAATATTTTTAACCTTCATAGAGCATTTTATCAGGGCCGTCTTTGAGAGTGTGCAAGACAGTCTATTACATTAGACCTTAATTTTTTTTTACGGGTAAACTGTGGCTAAAAAAGGCCTAATCACATATTTGTTACAGTTAATCCATAACAAAATAGGGCTCTTATATGTTTTTCCACAGTTAAACCATGGTAAACCTATACAGAATCTCCGAAAAACTTAAGAAGGCGCTGCATTTTATGTGAACTATATATTCGCATTTCAGAATCATTCTATTGTAATGTGAGTTCTAAATTCTAATTGTCATCCAGGTACAAGCATCAAAGGAGAGTATAGACATCTCATTACATCTCAGATTGGTCAAAAGCAAAACCAAAGTGGCTTTCTACCAAAATCTTCAGAAGCACCAATTCTATGTGCTGGCTGTGGAATAAGGACAGAGTTATCTATCAAAGAGTCAAATAGGTTCAGCTATTCTGAAATACAGCTTGCAACAAATGATTTTTCAAAGGATAACTTAATAGGTGAAGGTGGATATGGCCACGTATATAAAGGTGTGCTTAAAGACGGACAACAAATTGCTGCAAAAGTAAGGAAAGAAGAAAGTTCACAAGGATTCTCTGAATTCCATTCAGAGGTTTATATCTTGAGTTTTGCTAGACACAAGAATATAGTGATGCTGTTGGGTTACTGTTGCAAAGAAAATAAAAATATTCTTATATATGAATATATTTGTAATAAATCTCTTCATTGGCATTTATTTGGTAAGTATCTTATGCTCCAAGCAAGCCTAAGAAATATATCTTCTATCAATCACTATAAAGTTTTTTTATAACTTTTTTGTAGAAAACAATGACGCGGTTCTTGATTGGCCTCAAAGATATGGTATTGCACTAGGGACTGCAAAGGGGTTGCGATTTTTGCATGAAGAATGTAGAGGTGGTCCTATTATTCACAGGGACATGCGACCGAGCAATATACTTCTCACTCATGATTTTGTTCCCATGGTAAGAAAGCTCATATATTTATACATAATAGGTTAATGGTTTTAGGAGACACAATATTGCTATGCATGAGCCTTTGAACTCTCACTAAAAGATCCACTGCTGCTTCTAGTGCTAGAAAACTAAAAATGTCCAAGGCAAATAGTAAATTAAGTGATGTTTTATAAATGAATGCATTATGCATGGTGCAGCTAGGTGATTTTGGCCTTGCCAAATGGATTACAGGTGGTGATCCTCTTGAAACAAGGATAATGGGCACATTAGGGTGAGAATTTATCAGTTCAAACCTTTTATAATTCCCAACCACTAGCCTGATTATACATCCTTAAAAAACAGCAAAACCAAACAAATTTTAATGTTGTTAATGTTTATGTTATGTAGATACCTTGCTCCCGAGTATGCTGAAGATGGTATAGTTTCTGAAGGAACAGATGTGTATTCGTATGGCGTTACTTTGTTACAATTGATATCAGGACGTCCAGTGGGTAATCCAGATCAGGAACAACAATCTCTTCGACAATGGGTAATATATAAACATGAATTTAATCTTACATTGTCAGTGCGTAACAATTAATCTCTATAGATATTTGACCGTTTGTTAATTCAATTTGAATACCATTATACATTTTTAGGCAGAACCAAAGATTGAGAAGTTGGCTTTACAAGAACTAGTTGATCCTCGTTTGGGAGAATCATATGACACATATGAACTATACCTTATGGCTAAAGCAGCAAATTTCTGTATGCAAAGAAAGCCTGAGATGCGTCCATCAATGAGAGAGGTATCTTCATTTCATTACTTTGGCCTTAATTCTACATCAAGTGAAATTTATACTAATGATTAATTTACAGGTTGTGCGATTTCTTGAGGGAGAAAGTTATCATTTCAATACCTAGAAGATCAATTTATACCAAACCATAACACTTGATCAAGGAGTTTTTGTCTACTCATCAATATATATGTTAATATATTGGTTAATTTTGCCAATGCTATAGCTTATTTGTAAGCATCGTTAAAATTAATTTGTTGTAACTACCACTATCTTTAGGAAGCATTATGAGAGAATTGTAACCATCACATTATAATGATTGTCTTTATTTAGATTTATGGTAGAGTTGTATCATTAAAATTGAGAGAACCAAAGAGTCCTCATCTTGATTAGCAACCTATTTGTATTCTCTATCAGTTTCATTCAAGCCTATATAAAGGCTTTGTAATGCTAAGATTAACATGTAGAAGTGTTTGGTGAATTAAAAAAAAAACAGAGTTTTTCAATGGTTATCCACCAGTAAAGTATAGTACAAAAAGTGACGAAAAATAGTTTTCTCTGCAGAATTCTGCAACACTATAATTTTTCACATACCACCTCTAGAATACCGCCAACAGAGTGGTATCAGAGCTGCAGATCCTTGCAGCTGCAGCAAAAATAACAACAGTTATGGCTTCCACAAACAACCCTTCCGTAACTTACAGCAATGTCAAAGTTCTTCTATTTGAAGGAGAGAACTATGATTTTTGGACTGTTAAAATGGAGACTCTATTCACATCTTTGGATGTTCTAGAGTATGTCAAAAACGGCTATGAAGAACTGGCGCCAACAGAGGCTGAAAAATCAAAAGAAAAGGCTGAAGAATCAAGCCAACGGCTTGAAGAATTGAAGAAGAAGAAGAAGATCACAGATGCTGGAGTTCTCGGGATGATTCAAAGAGGGGTCTCTCTATCCATCTTCCCAAGGATTATGAGAGCTAAAACATCGAAAGAAGCCTGGAGTATCCTACAACAAGAGTTCGAAGGAGACTCAAAGGTGCGAACGATGAAGCTTCAATCTCTTAAGAGAGATTATGAAAATGAAAGGATGAAGGAGAACGAGAGCATGAACGAATACTTCAACAGACTCTCCGAGTTGGTGAATCAGATGAAGTCACATGGTGATACGATAGAAGATCGCAGAATTGTTGACAAAATTCTGATCAGTTTGACAGCAAGATTTGACCCAATGGTGGGGGTAATAAAAGAAACCAAGGATCTATCAACCTTGACTGTTCAAGGGTTGATGGGGTCTTTGAGATCCTACGAGCAAAGGATGTTACGACATTCTGAAAAATCAATCGAGAGTGCCTTTCAATCTAAACTCAACATTCAGCCCAACAATGGTGAAAATAAGCCCCAAATACAAACTAGAGGTGAGTCTTCTAGAGGTGGCAAATTTGGAAGAGGCAGAGGCAGAGGTCGAAACTCACGTGGCAGATCTGGAAGAAGCACAAATGGCGGAAGATGGAATGGAGCATCAAACAAATGGTGCAAAATTTGTAACAGCGGTACTCATGACGAGAAGGATTGTTGGAACAAAGGTAAATCGCAATGCCACAATTGCAAGAGATTCGGGCACCTTCAAAAGGATTGTCGTCTTGCAAATCAACAACATGCTTCGTACGCAGAAGGAGAATCTGATGAAGGAAATTTATTTTTTGCTTGTCAAAAAGCATTGCATGAAGAAGGTAAAAATGTATGGTATTTGGATAGCGGCTGTAGCAACCATATGACCGGACAGAAGGAAGCATTTATAAACATTGATTTTTCATTTGGCTCAAAAGTTAAATTGGGCAATTGAGAACGTTTCGTAGTGAAAGGGAAAGGAAGCATTGGAGTCACCACAAAGCAAGGAAGCAAAGTCATACATGACACACTCTATGTACCAGAATTAGACGAAAATTTACTTAGCATTGGACAACTTCTGGAGCACGGCTATTCTCTAAACTTTGAGAATAACGAGTGCAGAATTTTTGACTCAGAAAGAAGAAGTGTTGTCGTTGTGAAGATGACTAGCAACAGGAGCTTTCCACTATCTTTTAACTATGAGAAAATGTAAGCATGATGGCCAGAGAAGAGAATGACTCGTGTTTATGGCACAGGAGACTTGGGAATTTGAATTACAAAAGCCTCAAATTACTCTATCAAAAGAAGATGGTGTATGGGCTGCCAAGAATCGAAGAAAAATCTGGTGTGTGCGAAGGTTGTGTCCTTGGCAAACACCACCGGCAACCATTTCCAAAGGAAGGTGCATGGAGAGCTAAACAAGTGTTGGAACTTGTACACACAGATGTGTGTGCCCCTATGAATACTTTGTCTCATGGCAAAAATAGGTACTTTATCTTGTTTATTGATGACTTTACCCGCATGACTTGGATATATTTCATGAGACAAAAATCTGAAGCGTTTGTAATCTTTAATAAATTTAAAGCATTAATCGAAAAGCAAAGTGGCAGATTTATAAAGATGCTGAGAAGTGATCGAGGGAAAGAGTACACCTCAAATGAATTTCATAAATTTTGTGAATATGAAGGTGTTGAAAGACAGCTCACTGTTGGATATACACCTCAGCAAAAGGGTGTATCTGAAAGAAAGAACCAAACCGTGATGGAGATGGTGAAGTCTATGCTACTTGAGAAAGGTTTGCCTAAAACCTTTTGGCCCGAGGCCGTTAACACTGCTGTGTATTTGATGAACAGGTGTCCAACAAAGGCTGTGTGGAAAAAGACTCCATTTAAAACCTGGAGTGGAAGAACACCGTCGGTGAACCATCTTAAAATTTTTGGGTGTGTTTGCTATGCTCAAATTCCTAAACAAAAGAGGACAAAGCTAGAAGAAACAAGTGAAAGATATGTCTTTATTGGCTATAGTTCCATGTCAAAGGGCTATATACTTTACAACTTGAAGACAATTAAGGTGATCATTAGCCGGGATGTTGTATTTGATGAGAACGCTTCTTGGAATTGGGAAGAAGACAAAACGAAGGAGAAAACAGTCCCTGCAATCATATTACAACAACAAAACCCAACAGCTGATAATGAGCAACCAACTCCATGTACACCAAGTTCCTCATCCTCTCCAAGTTCACAAATTTCAAGTTCATCATCTCCCAGCTCAACTCCAATAAAATTGAAGGACTTGAGTGATATTTATGCAAGATGCAACTATTGTGTTGTGGAACCAGAAAATTTTGATGAAGCAATCAAAGAAGATGCTTGGAGGAATGCGATGCAAGAAGAAATAAATGCCATTGAGAAAAATAAAACATGGCAGTTAGTTGAAAAGTCAAATGACAAAGAAGCTATTGGAGTAAAGTGGGTGTACAAATTGAAGCATAATCCAGATGGGTCAATTCAAAGAGCCAAGGCTAGATTGGTATAAAAGGCTATGCACAACATCCTGGAATTGACTATAGTGAAACTTTTGCCCCAGTTGCAAGATTGGATACTGTACGAACAATTATTGCATTAGTAGCTCAGAAAGGGTGGAACCTGTACCAACTTGATGTGAAGTCAGCTTTCCTGAATGGAGAATTAAAAGAAGAGGTATATGTGCAGCAACCTCAAGGCTTTGTGACTAAAGGCTAAGAGGAAAAAGTTTACAAGTTGAAGAAAGCTCTCTATGGGTTGAAACAAGTCCCGAGAGCATGGTATAGTGAAATTGACAGCTATTTCATTCAACAAGGATTTGGAAGAAGTCAAAGTGAGCATACCTTGTATGTGAAGCATCAAGGTAAAGATGATATCCTTCTTGTTTCCCTTTATGTTGATGATTTGGTGTATACGGGTAACAACAAGAAAATGGTTGAAAATTTTAAAATAGAAATGATGAAAAAATATGAGATGAGTGATCTTGGCTTGCTGTATCATTTTCTTGGTATTGAGGTTTACCAAGATGAATATGGAGTTTTTATTTGTCAAAAGAGATATGCTGAAAATATTTTGAAATTTTTTGACATGAATGGCTGCAAACCTGTTGATATTCCTTTATTGGTGAATGAAAAATTAAAGAAGGAAGATGGTGGAAGATTAGTAGATGCAAGTATGTATAGAAGTTTGGTTGGAAGCTTGTTTTATCTTACAGCTTCAAGGCCCGATTTAATGTTTGTTGCTAGTTTACTCTTAAGGTTTATGAGTAAACCGAGTCACTTACACCTTGGAGCAGCAAAAAGAGTTCTAAGGTATGTCATGGGAACCATGGAACATGGAATCAGGTTTGAAAAGAATTTTAAACTCGAAGTTAAAGGCTACTGTGACAGTGATTGGGCTGGAAGTGTTGATGACATGAAAAGCACTTCCGGTTATGTGTTCAGCCTGGGTTCAAGAGTAATTTCTTGGTGTTCGAAGAAACAAGATACTGTAGCGCAATCTTCAGCTGAAGCAGAATATTTGGCAGCTGGTTTGGCTACACAACAATCATTATGGTTGAGAAGAATACTTGAAGATATCGGAGAAAAGCAAGAAGAAAGTCTGTTGCTTCACTATGACAATAAATCAGCAATAGCCATGGCGAAGAATCCAGTTTTCCACAGTCCAACAAGACATATTAATATAAAGCACCACTTCATTCGAAGTGTGATCGAAGATGGTGATGTGCAGTTAGTGTTCTGCAATTCACAAGAGCAGCTTGCAGACATTTTTACTAAAGCACTACCAAGAGGAAGATTTCAGCAACTTAGAGAAGCAATGGGAGTTAAAGAGCAACACATTAAGAGGGAGTGTTAAAATTAATGTGTTGTAATCAGCACTATATTTAGGAAGCATTATGAGAGAATTGTAACCATCACATTATAATGATTGTCTTTATTTAGATTTATGGTAGAGTTGTATCATTAAAATTGAGAGAACCAAAGAGTCCTCATCTTGATTAGCAACCTATTTGTATTCTCTATCAGTTTCATTCAAACCTATATAAAGGCTTTGTAATGCTAAGATTAACATGTAGAAGTGTTTGGTGAATTAAAAAAAAAATAGAGTTTTTCAATGGTCATCCACCAGTAGAAGTATAGTACAAAAAGTGACAAAAAGTAGTTTTCTCTGCAGAATTCTGCAACACTATAATTTTTCACATACCACCTCTATAATAC